AATTTCTCCACCACCCCCGATGCCTGCCGACACAAATCTTAATCCCTGGTCGGGCTTCTGGTTATCAATCACTTATTCACCCGCTGCCTCCTCTGCGCACAGCTCTTACTGCCAAACAAAATGATTGCTGGTCCGCTCGGCTGATGTGTGTTTATTCACAGCTGTGATTATTTATTGTTCTAGTTGGGCTTTTTTTTGTTTTTGTTTCCCAGAAACATTTGTTTTTTTACGAGGTGAACTCAATTAGAACTAGGGTTGTCACAGCACAAACATTTCAAAGCCAATGCTGATATTGAAGAATATTTGATGGCAGATTTGATACTGCACAATGTGTGTGTTGTTTTTTCCCCTCTTTTTTCTTGGGCTTTACTGGACATGTTTGCAGATTTTAAAATTTCCAACGTTTTTATGATCTGAAGTTGCAAAAAGTGGAGAGGCTGAGCCTCTGCTGATATATTGTGACAGTTTGGCAAAGAGCTTAGTTTATATACAAATAAGTATCTTACCTGATTAGTTTTTATAGAAACATTTATATGGCAGATTTAGAGAACTTATAATCACAATTGTAGCGTTTCCTGTTGCTCAGGCCACCTCTTTAAAAAAAAAGTTTATGCTTTCTAATATAGAGTTTAATATTTTTTTATCCTTCCATCTATTTTATTGCTCTTATCCATCAGTTGATGCTGATCTCCATCAGTGCATAGGCAAACGGCGAGGAACATCCTAGACAGATTGCTGCTTCTTTGCAGGGTAGAGACATCCAACCGCGCACACTTACTCACACCTATGGCCAATCTGGAGATGCCAATTCAACAGTCACGTATTTTTTGGACTGTGGGAGGAAGCCAGACTACCCAGAGAGACCTCAGGGATGCACGCACCCATGCACAAAGACCCTCGGCCAAGAATCAAAGCCAGGATATTCTTGAAGTGCCAACTTCAACTTCAACTCATGTTTTTATAAGTTCAAACTAGTTAATAATTAAGGTTTGGTTACTATTATTCATAACTCAAGGGTATTGTTTACTATGCCTTAAACAAGTGTTTACACCATTTTGTCCTCCATGAATTTAAAGGTATTTCAAAGTTTAGTGTCATTAAAACAGCTTATTGTTCATTTTTTAAGTGGAAATTAAAACAGTTAATTGTTCATAGCAACCCTTTTAGAAATAAGAATCTGAAAAGTGTAATCTGTATCTGGTAGGGGTGGGAGTATTTTAACTACTTTATGAGCTGATCCCAAAGCCAAAGATTACGATGCCACAGTAAATCTGACAATCCCTCTCAGCCCCCATTTCTCCCACACCCACCCAACTTTATCCCCATGCACCTTTTCCTACAACAAAATACACGGATTAAAAGCCTCAGACGAAAGAAAAACATTGGTTACTGAATACATGAAAGCAAATCTTTGCCAAGAGCCCTGAAGAATTTTGGACCTCTGCACATTCAGAGCTCACAAACAGCTGACCATATTCATGAGTTAATGAGTACAAGATCTCTGGCACCTGGAACTACTCATGAAACTAAAGATTTGGTGATGAACGCCGGTTCTCTGCCCGATTTCTGTAAAACCTATTAATATTTAGACTGGCAGGATTTTTCTCTTGCTAAGAAACATGAATTATTACTATAATACTTTAGTTTAACTTTTAAAATTGTCCATGTTTAAATCCTGATGCATGAAAAAAACCATCTGCCAAACTGAGCTTGGTGTGTTGAAGATTGCAAAGACCTAAAATGTGAAGGACATTGGTCACTAAGGATAGGATTATCTATCTAAACCATCCTGAATATATTTGTCATCACTGTTCAGCTGTAATAAAAAAACAAGGCACTGCCTTACGTCCTGTGCAGCAGTATTTCCTGGATTTATGCTATACTTTAGAGTGGCATCATTTCTCAGGTAATAATGCTCTACTTTCCCTCTTGTTGATGCTCTTATTCTCCGTTATTCTTACATGGACGCTTGTGCACAGTATTTCTAGTAAATAAAAGACATCTGGCTTTATAAACACTAAGATATAACATGGTAGACAAATGGTTAAAGTAGAAACATTTAACCCCTTTTGAGCTGAACAGGAGACATCTTGAATGCAAAAGTTCCAACTAGGATATTTAGCTCTGCGTTAGTTCGATCTGTCTTTATATCATCTCTGAATAGCTTCCACGTCTCTCCTGATCTTGATGTGGACTTATCCATTCTTTTGCTGTGCTGCTTGCATCCTCCACCGTGATCCTAGCTACCTTGGTCAGCTGAAGCCTCTACCCGTCATGGCACTGTTTCCCCAGTGCGCTTATTCAAACTTCTGCTGTGCTCCTTCGCTCTCCTCTTGAGTGCTGGGCTACTGGGGCTGCTACTGTCTACTCCTCTGGTTCCTTAGCTACAGAGGACCACACTGCTGGCCACTGTTCTCACACTGATTCCCTGCTGATTCTGTCAGAGCTCAGAGTCTGAGCTTAGAGGCTGTCTCCTCTTCCCTCTGTGGTACTTGTGATTCGTCACCTGTGTTAGGGAATTCTGACTAAACCAAACATGGAGCAAACCCAGGAGAAAGGTGTCTGACTCCGCTCAGAAAAAAACCTCAACAACACAGTCTGTCTTCATAATAACCAAACGGTTGCTGATCGTGGCCGATCACGTGAAAATAAGCGGAGGGGTGGTCTCAAGGGAGAGGCATGGTTGTGTATGTTCAGAAATATAGCTTGCTGGAACCATTTTTCTAAGATCTCCTACGGCACCTTTAAACATTTGGTAGAAGTATGTTTGCAAAGTTATAGAGGTCTGTAATAAATCGGTATCAGTTTGATGAAAATGAACATGAAACAGAAGAAAATCTCAATATTTCATTCTCATATCCCTTTTCCACAATGTTGATACGTTCCAAGGGGGTTTCACACAGAGCAACAGGTAGATAAACCCCTGAGGGCAGCATCTAATGGCTCAGCAGCAAAAGGCTCATTAGTATTCCCTACATCCCATGTATTGATTTTTGTGCAGTGTGAGTAACGACATGATGCTCTATTATACTCCCATTGATTACCTTCTGATCAGACGTGTCTCCCCTCCTTCTCTTAAGGAGGCTCTTTTCCTTTTGTGTGTAACAGAGGGGGGCTATCAGATAAGCGGTAGGGACCACTTTTTGGCTGGACTTTGAAATAAATGAGCTCAAAGAGGCAGAGTAACAAGAACAGTTTGTAAAAGAATTCATAAAGCTGAGAGTAAATTTAGTGTGCTGAACTGGGAAACTGGACAGCTAGTTCAACATTACCAAATCGAAACACAGAGGCTAACCACTTGAACAGCTGTTTTAATGTAACTCTCCACAGAAAACCAATTAACCACACAGATTATAGAGCTTTAGTTTGTTTAGCATCAGGCTTTGCTTGAGTTGGACAAGTTTCTTCAACTTCCAGCTCTTTGTTTGACTGCCTGTAGTTTAGGTGAAGCTGACTACATCAAGCATTCTCCTCTGCTCACATGGGTGATAGAAAAGTTCTTACTGATTACTAAACATAGAAATGGCTTCGCAAGGATTTGTTATAAACAGCTCCACATTTAGTTCCCCTGATAAGAGACAGCTACTTCGGCAGCCCAGAGGTGTTTGTTTGCATGCCAAACCTTTTTAAGTGCATGTTTTCATCATGCTTTCCCAGTTACTGGCTGCAGTTTGGTCTGTGCAGTCATCCCTTTCTCTCCCCCGAGGATCTCCACAGATGTTGCCAGCTGGTGTCCATTATGTTGCAGGTGTGTGTGTGTGTGTGTGTGTACGCGCGCAAGCCCAATTTCTGGATTAGATACTTGCAAAACTATTCCTAACTAGAACCTTTTTTTTTTTTTTTTTACATATTGCCATGTTACATCCTCAAACTTTTGTGCTTTAATGGGATTTGCTGTGATAGACCAACGTAAAACATACACATGACATGTAAAGAGAGGAAAACAATGTTTAAAATGTGTATAATTGTACATTAAGAAATGTCCTTGGCACATAAGTGATCAAACGTTATCCTGAAGACTAAGACGAACAGCAGACAGAGGATGATATCCCAAAACCTTTAAGCTTCTGATAGAACAATGCTCATCCCATCATCTGTAAACGGTGCAGCTGCAGACCTAAAAACAAGGTGATAAGTAACTAGGGAAATGGTTAAGCATCACATGGAGATTCTAGTGAAATTGACCTTTTATGCATTGCAAACTAAAAGATGTGTGGAAGGTAGCTAACAGTGTCAATCACCTTGTTGTATTGGCAGCATCATGTGGAAAAAGGTATTTGAAATTAAAATAATCTGTTTGTAAGTTGGAAAATATTTAATTTCTTCTGCCAGTATCATAGTAACTCCAGTCAATGCGAAATAAAACTAAAGGAGCTAAATAGATTCATTCGTCACACTTTAGGTCTGCAGTTATGCAAAATGTTTAAAAACATTCATTTCCCCTCTAATTCTCACTTAGACACTGCTTTGTGTTATTCTACCAGATAGAATCCATATTTATGCTAAGAGTGTTAAAAAAAAACCTGTTGGATTAGCAACGTGTTACATACTTTCCAAGCATAAGTCATCTCCATTGTGGGGCTGCAAGAGGGTGATGTCTTTACTTGTTTGTCTGGAAATGATCGGTGCATCGGCAGAGACGTTTGTGATTAGAGCGCTCTGTGGTTGCTCGAAAGCAAACACTACTTCTGACTAAATGCAAGTCTGTAACAAATGAGGCCAACCCTGTAGTAATCAGATTAGAGAACCTTACCGACATGCTCCCAATGTTCCACCTTGTGATCCTGAGCATTTATTTTATTACAGCCATGCTTTAATGAGATTAGTCTAGAAACAGTGATGCACCGCTAAGAACAGACTGTGCAAATCGCTGCAGCAGCTCCCTCTGTGTTTGTTCACCTTTGTTTGCTGTCATGCAACTGTATTAATGCATCGCAAGGGTCACCTCATGGTTCCACTGCACGAGTAATCCATGTTTGTGCCTCGAATCCTCTCCACAGGAAACCAAGAATAAACTCCCAGCTGGCCGCTCAGCAGTCGGCTCAGCAGTACACAATGCCTCCCCCACCCAAGAAGGATCGGAGAGAGAGGAGCGAGCGCACGGACAAGGAACGTCCACACAGCGAAGGAGAAAGAGCCGGCGCCGAGGGACGCCCTGAGGGAGAACGCCCAGAGAGAGTCGGGCCAGAGGGAGAAATTCCTGAGAAGGACAAGAGTGAGAAGGAGCAGCCCATCAAAGACAAACCCGACAGGGAAAAGGAGATCACCCCAGCTGTAACAAAGAAACCCAGCAGCAAAAAGACCAAGTCAGTGTCAGAATCACTTCTTGCTTGTGCCTGGAGGTTTTCTGTAATATCCTAACCCTCACCCGTTCTCCTTTTCTTGCAGACCCAAATCAGACAGCCATCAGAGTTCACCAAGTGACAAACAGAGCATACAGTCTGGGAAATCAGCAACCAAGTCTAACAAGAACTCCCATATTTCCAGGTCAGTAGATGTCCTCTCTTACGCTGCATTTTTCTGACACAACACACGACTCGCATCACTTTTTGATAATGCTAACTCATCTAGTAAAGTTGTGGAAAACCTCAAATGAATCACAATTGATCTTTTACACCAAACGCCCACTCTGTTTTTCATGCACTTGTTCTGACTCTTCATGTGTCACCCAGTACAGCCTGCGTAACGCTGGTAAGCTCCCTCTCATGCTCTGAGACTAGACGTGCTCCGGTTAGATTTTATGGCTGATTTAGAAAAGCTTTTCTCATTTCCATTAAAAGAAAAATACCATAAATTACATAAATCATAGAAAGTACTCCAAAACATTAAGCAGAAATAAGGAGACAATCTCATTTACTGAAATAGCAGAAATAGTGAAGTTGCCATAACTCAGGTTTCTATTTGTTTCTCAGAAAGAACATACTTGAGGGTTAAAAAGCTCAGGTTTGATGCAGGATATGTTAAATTCTTCAAACTATTAATTAATCCTAAATATAATGAATCCTTTCTGTGTTTATTTTTGTTTTGTTTTTGTGTAATCTGGACATTTGTTTTACCATGATGCCAGTGTGTATGTTTGAGAGAACAAACTCATGTCTCAAATGGAAGACAGCTGGAATTTAGTGGTGACATTCCAAAATGCCTTTAGCATCTCAGCTTTTAGTGGGTCACACTGAGCACCAGTCTGTGTGCACTTCCTGTTCAATGGGTAGACCTCTACTGTACGTTTTCCAAGGGCTGTCAGCATTTCTCAATCCAGCCGCTCCCAAGCCCAGTAGACTAGGATTAAAACTGAGAATTTTACCCGCCTAATTAAACTTCTACCATGCCTCTGTAGAAAATAGGTTTTTTCTAGAAGCTTCTTATACCAAGTAGTTGTTTGTTGGTATTTATGTGCATGTGTCGCTGATTTTCTGTTTTATAAATCTTGTTTTAATAATTTGTTTGGATTTTAAATCTGACCTGCAAACAGACTTTAGATGTTAATTAGTTTAAAGCTTTAAATTGTTTGGTTTCTTATACGGTTACGCCTTGGTGTTTCCAAATATATCCAACAGACTATTGATCTTTAGGAAACTTAACCACTAAAGGGTTTTATTGGTTGATCTGTTAGAGCTTTGGTAAAACATGACTGGTGGTCGGGTTCCACTCATCAGCCGATTTCACTGTAAAACTCTTGTTTGTAAATTAGTCTTTTTTTTTAAGTGTATTTCTTTTTCGTTTTTTCTGTTTGCACTCAGGCCCAAACTGAAGAATATCGACCGAAGTACCGCCCAACAGTTGGCCATCACCGTAGGTAACGTGACGGTGATCATAACAGACTTTAAGGAGAAGACCCGCTCCTCATCCACATCTTCGTCCACCATCACATCCAGCGCAGGCTCTGAACAGCAGCATCAGAGCTCTGGCTCCGAGAGCATGGACAAGGGCTCGTCACGCGCCTCCACCCCTAAAGGGGATCTCTCGGTGGGGCACGACGAGTCATTCTGAGCGCCATTGTTTGTTTTCGTTTTTTTTTTTTTGGCTGTCGTCGTTTAACCCCGTTCCCTTCCAATTCTTCACTCCCCTCTCCTCTCCGCCCATATTTCTGGACACTGTGGATCCCATGGGGGGGAAGAGTCGTCACCCTTTGCCATCGATGCCCTGCCCTTCATTCCATGTCCTCCCCATGATGCTGAGCAGAGCTGGCCGGATTAGAGACACAGCTGGCACCTTTTTAGGGGAGCACACTCCCTATGTAGTCTTGCCGGGGAGAGCTGGGCTAAAGGGAATAAGACCCTACACCCCCCCCCTTACGGTAGCATCCAGACACTTGTACGTATTGTTTTATATTTGTATGTGGATGTGAGACCAAGTCGACCTTTTTTTTTCTGTTTTTGTAAAGAAGAAATCTCCGCTGGGCACAATAACGCGCCATAGGAATTAACTATTATTCCCCTTATTTATTTCCTGTTGCACCTGTATACTTTGATATTTTTTTCTTCTTCTCTTTAAGTTCCGGCTTTGCAGTGTAGCTCTGCTGATTGATCGTTCCTTCAGTGTTTTCACTACAATGAAAATGTTAGGATAACCTACATGCACACACACTGGTGCTAGATACACTGTGAAGTGGTTCTGCAGATTGGGGACTGCCCACTTTCTCCATGTGACAAAGTTCTTCTGAATCAAATTCTGCTTCATGTTCCTCGATGACACTGCTTGACCACCTCCAGATCGGACCTTTTTTCCTCTCCAACCGGCTCCACTCTGATTTCGTATGCTCTCGCAGGTTGTACAGTCCCTCCCTGTCCTTTAACTGTACAGTGTAGGCTGTTGTGTAAAACACTAAAAGCTGTCCATGTTCTGCATTCCATGCTTCAAATGTTGAGTTTTCCAGGCTGCAGTTGGGAGCTGTCCTCTCAGCTCGGCAGCCATAGTTTTCGTTTTTTTTTCCTCAACGTTCTTATTCTGTGACTGAAGGATGCAGTTCTGCTTGGTGAAACCAAGTCGCTCTGTAAAAAAAAAACAAACAAAAAAAACACACACCTTGTGTCAAACTGTTCAACATTTTTTGTTGTTGTGTTCCTGAAGACAATGTTGAATCTTCGTTCTCTCCACACAGAAAATGCATGCAACGAAAATGACAAATTTTCAAAGATTTGACAATTCAATTGACTTGTTTTTATATGTATTAATTGAAAGACTCCTGTCACTGAAGGCAAAATATTACAGTACTTATTAGAATGCAATTGAAATTTTTATAACAGCGAGGCTTATGTAAGGGTTTTAATTAACTTTCACCTTAGCTGAGAATAGACCAACATAATTTCCTTTAAATGTAAGAAATTGTATAAAGAATAAATGTGTATATGATATCTTAGTTTTATTTATTGAAGGACCAAAGGAATTTCTTAATGACGTGATACATAGACAGATGGATAACAATTTGAAATGCAATTATCTAATGTGTGAGATGAAAAACAGTTTAAATAAAGTTTAATATAATCCATGTAAATGGTGTTCTTATTGTACACTCAGTGTCTCTGTGGGTGGCTAAATCAGGGCACAGGCTGCTGTACTGTGAGCGGAGTCTGAGTGCGTGGGGTGGGGGGGTGGCTAAAAGGAGCTCTGCCTCCAAGACTTTGGCCTCAGTAAAATAATAAAAAGTCAAATAAAACCTTCAGTGCCGGACTAGCACAGTACAGCAGAGGTACCTCCTCCAACAGAGCAACAAAAATCACTTTAGCTGAAGGGAGGAGGGGGGGGGCGGCTGCTAACAGCCTTCACTCCTCCCTTCCCAGGCACCATAGAAAGGAGGGTGGAATCTGTTTTAGCAGATTCACACGTAGGGACGATAATCATGTTGTGAGCAATGTTTTAAGTCCAGGAGTTATGCGTTAACCTTTCATTTAGTTTCCCCTCCATTTGAGCTCCGGCTCATTAGTTGCTTTCTGGCTTACAGATCCAGAATCAGTGTTAGACGCTGAGGAAAGGGAACCGAGCTGCAGAATAAGAGAATGAGGGGAGAATTGAACCCAGTCTTATCTAAAGCAGCAAGCCGTCTCCTCCACCCTGCCTGTGCTCTACGTTCACAGGTCTGCAGAGCTTTCATTGTTCAATTATTAACAGAAGGCCATTTGTTGGGGATATGAATTATTGCTTGTAAATAGAATTTTAAGAAGGTGCAAAGGTAAACACTATGAGTAATGACGTCAGAGCTGAGGTCTTTTATTATTGTTTTTTTTTTTGTTTATTTTCCCTAAACTTTTGTTTCCTCCCGCGCAAGCAGTTCTGTTCTTGTGTGCGACCAGTAACCTTAATTTACTGTGTAAAGATGGTTACATTATTTAGCTTTGTTTGTTCAGAGACCCAAATGGTAGAATGCTTGTTTTATTTACTGTATAACCTTAAACGTGAACTTCCAGTTAAGTGTATTATACAAACAAATTTTCTTCCTATAACAATGTCTTGTACAATGCTTTTAAAGTTAATGCTTGGTTTAAAAATGAAAAAAAAGCGACATAGATAAACATTTAGGGACAGTTCAAGTATCCATTGTTTGTTTAATCCAGTTTCCTTCCTTTTGTTTGACTTCCAGCTGATGTGTCATTGTTTCTTTGTGAAATGGTCACCTTATGTTCCTGGTGTGGAAATGTGTACGCAGCATTTTCAGCAGATCACGGCTCCTCATCTAGCTAATGATGTTGACTAATACATGTTTCTGGCATGTGCACGACTTTGCGCTTCTAGGCTAACCTGATCATTTTCCTCCGCTTCAGATAGAAATGTCTATTTATGAATTTTGCTTGTAGTTTTTCACAAATAAAACTGTCAAAGTTATCTGTCCTCTGACTGCCTCTTGCCTCTCATTGTTACCTCTCATATTGCATGTATGGAACGAGTTCTCTAAACATCAGGTTAATCATGATTAATCAATAATTGAAATAATTGTCAATTAATTTAGTAATAAACTGGTGTATAGAAACTCTAAAACATGCCTTTAGCTGACAGAGCAATCCACCTTTAGCACCAATTAAACCAACATTGAAAAATAAGTAATAAGATTTTTTTTTAAAAACGTGTTTGTCTGTCAATATGCTCTATCCAGACAGGAGTGGAAAAATTTAGGTTTCACCTGGTTTAATTTGATGAAAAAATCTTTAAGGAACCTTCTGCAATAGTTGCAGCCCTAAATCAGGTTCTAATTGAGGATAAGTCAATATTATGCATTTGGATGAGTTTCTTTGCTCAGATCACAGTAATTGCTGCACTGGGGTTTCCCAAAAAAATCCGAGCAAGTGTTTGATAAAGAGATGGTTAACTTCTTTTAGTAGAACAACACTGCAAAAACAATTTAGAAATAAGTCAAAATGTCTTAAGTTTATTACCCTTAATTTGAGCAGATAAATAAGATAATTTGCTAATGGAGTTAGTTTTTTACTATTACCAATTAAACTTTTTTTTTTTCTATTTTAGGTGTAAATTGTCATGTTTGATTGGCAAAGTGTCTCACTTACCTCCTCAATTCAAGAAAAATGCATTTTAAGAAAAAAAAAACACTTATTTAGATTTCAAATTCAAGTAATTTCCCTCTGGGATCATTAAAGTATTTCTGAATTTCTTGCAGTGGACTTGAAGACAAGATTTTTCTGTGATATCAGTGATCCACATTTTTTACAATTAAATTCTTAAATAAGATTTTTACATTTCTAAGTAATATTTCTGCAGCTTTATCTTTTGATGTATATTTTTTTAAATGTGCATTAGATCATTTTTGTTTATTGTTGCAAAAAAAAACAACACAGTTTCTAAAAGGATTGTTTGATTAAAATGCCTTCTACAAAGTAAACTTTAAAAACTTCCTAACAGAAAAGTTTAGATAGTAACCCTGCTGTCTCTTATATTTGAATGTTTTTATATATTTTCTTTTTTCAAAATTATCAGCTTTGATATGTTGACTTAAAATTTCCTTTTTTTTTTTTCAAATAGAGTTTTTCCAATACCTTTTACAGATTTACTTCAAGCCCAATACGAATGCTTGCTCTTGACCAATAAAAGTGTCATCACTCCTCACTATAGAGGAAAGCCCGCTCCCAGAAGGAACGAGAATTTGACCTGCGAAACACAATTTGAAAAGAATGCAGTTTGTTAAAACTCCATCTGAAAAAGAGAAATTTGGCATAGTAAAAATCTGTTGTTTTTTGTTAGTTTTTTTTTTTAAGGGAAAAAATTAGTGCTGCATGGGGGAGCAGTGGGTAGAACGGTTGTCTTGCAGCAAGAAGGGAAAATTTAAATCTGACAAACAGCATACTTATTCTCAAAAAACTAAAAATTTCCAAAGGTTTTCCTGAATTGCATTTCTTTGTCTTAAAATTTCCGTTTAAAAAATGTGCACTTTATCAGATTTTCATTTAAAAACCTTGTTCTTTGCTGCAATAATAATGAAGCAGAAATTACTTCATAAATGTGCAGCATATAGGATAATGAACTTTGGGCTTTTCAGCAACTTTTTTACCAAATAATCCAGGGCTTCAGCGTCAATATTGGGACCTTTGCTACATGTCTTAGTACTTTCAATAAAAGCCACAATTGCCAAAAATGAATAATCTGACAGGGGAAACAGAAGTATGTCTTCTACTGTAAAAACTCTCCTGAGAATTTTACATGAATCATCTACTCTATATAAGTATGTAAAATGAAAGTCATCCTTTTTTGCTGTCCTTCAGCACTGCGGTTTTGAACCAGGAGCTGCTTCATGTTTTGATCTCAGTAAATGTTCTTCTGATGAATATTATTAGTGGGACCTCCTAATTTCAGTATTTATGTCAGATTTTGTGTAGACGGCTCCCCAAAGCAAAAAGTTCAGAAGTTCATAAATATCATATCGGAGATATCTAATGGCATTTTTGATGTTGTTACTTTCAGCCTCCCTGACAATGAATTTAAATGTCTACTGAATAAAGGTGCTCAGGGGAATATTAGTTTACACCAAGAGATATTGAATAATTGTATTTAACATAACCCTCTAAAACTCCTTTAGATAATGTGAGGGGTCTATAGATTTGACCTCCTATGGATTGGGATGTTTCAGGCTGCCTCTGTGGAGGGATTCCTCTCACTTTCTTTAACAGTTTCCCTTCCTCACAGGCAAAGTTTCAGAAGCTTTTATGGGCAAGTATATCAAATGTGCACAAAGAGCCAGTCTTCCTCATAACTTCTATCAGACCCTCTGAATATCAGCTTCTGGATCTGGTCCTGATTGGATCCGTTCTGTCATGTTCTGAAGGTTTACCACAGTTAGTTTCTGCCTATTCACTCACATGTGGAGAACTGAGCTCATGTTTTCAGTAGCCTTAAGACCTGGAACGTGGTCTAAGATTTCATTGTTCTGGTCTTTAAACCACTTCAGCCTTCTGACGCTGTGCCCATCTTATGTACAAAGCTTATCAGAAAGTTGTACCCTTAAGCGTTGGAAGAAGATGTTCTCACAGGACATGTTGATCCCACTTTTTATATTAAAAAGCAAAACAAATTGGTATTAAGCTCAGTGGTTAAACAAAGAGCAGCCCCAAACAGGATCTGTAACTGAATTACATAATTAGTGTTCAGCTTTATTTTTAAGATGTCCTCAAGAATCTAAAGGAAGTTTAATCCCAGAGAGAGAGAGAAAAACCCAACCATTAACCTCCTTTTAATCCCTGATGAATTGCAAACAATAATCTTTTTCTAATTTTTAAACAGAAGTTGCTTTCTTAGGGTCCTGTTGGTTATAAAACAGTGTTTGCTTAATTCTGCTCTCTCATCTACTGAGTTTCAGGAAGCTTTGCTGGTGGAAACATCTGGACTGAAACTGAGTTGGACTTGAATAGGAAACTTCACATGTGTTGATAAAATAGCTAACCTAAAGGTAAGTTGGTGGAATGTTTTGTGAAAAGGAACAGTTTTTAAAAAGGCATGATGGAGTTCTCTATTGATACTGCCACCCGTGACCAAAACACATTTCAATCCGAAAAACCCACACGAAGAGAAA